GGGAAAGGAGAATGTTAGCCGCTTTGAGACTCCTTAGGGTAGTGATAAAGCGGGATATCAAATCCAAACTTCTTCTTCTTCTCAGTGGTGGCTTCTCCTGGTCTTTGGAACTCCCTCCCTATAGAAGGTAGCCTGTCTCCCTCCTTGTTGTCCTTGTATCAACAGGCTTTTGGGAACTGACTGCTTCTAATGAAAGGGCTGGTGCTGTGCTGCTTTTATCATAATTGTTGTATGTTTTAATAGATCTCTCTCCTGGCAATAGCTTTGTCCTTCCAGTTGACACACTTGTTGTCGATGGTATAGTCCAGGGGTAGTCAACCTTTTTATACCTACCACCCACTAATGCATCTTTCTTGATGGTAAAATTTCCTTACCGCCCACCAGTGCTCGATGGAAGGATTCAGCTTGTGCTGTAGAACCCCCTACCGTCCACCTAGAATCCTGAAACGCCCACTAGTAGGGTGTAGGGGCCAGGTTGAGAACCCCTGGCATAGTCAATCAAATATACCGTATGCATATATAACATATAGTTCGCAGATTTTTTTAGATGTGGTTGATCTATTGTTGTGAATGTAGGAAAAGCTGTCTGTGGCTGCCGCAGCAGGAGAGAGGCTGATTGCATCTGGTTTTAAGGTGTATGTTGCCTGGCCTAGTTGCCTTTGGAGATAAGATCATTGGACCTAGATTGTTCTCCACGACTTGGCTCTTGACGGTTTCTGACATGGAGATGCCTACGCAGTTAAGTGCCTGGCTGCCCTACTTCCTGTCAGCCTTCATGAAACAGAGCTGCCACTCAGCATCCATTAACAGACAAGGGATCAATTACTTGTGTTACATCTAGACACTAACACTTCACGGCTATAAGAAGAGCCTGAGGTGAGTCAATCAGATGTTGTCATCAGTGATGACACCTCAGCATACCTGTTCCCTTAAAAAGGTAAAGGTAAAGGACCCCTGACAGTTAAGTCCAGTTGTGAACGACTCTGGGGTTGCGGCGCTCATCTCGCTTTATTGGCCGAGGGAGCCAATGTTTGTCCACAGACAGTTTTTCCGGGTCGTGTGGCCAGCATGACTAAGCCGCATCTGGCGAAGCCAGAGCAGCGCACGGAAATGCCATTTACCTTCCCGCCGGAGTGGTACCTATTTATCTACTTACACTTTGACATGCTTTCCAACTGCTAAGTTGGCAGGAGCAGGGGCCAAACAATGAGAGCTCACCCAGTCACGGGGATTCAAACTGCAGATCTTCCGATTGGCAACCCCTAGGCTCAGTGGTTTACACCACAGCGCCACCTACCTGTCCCCTTATCTGAGGGATATACGCAGGGCTGCAAAGTGGCAAACTTGGAGGCGGTCTTCCATATAACGTCATCTGATTTGACATCCTGCCCACAACAGATCCCCATTGGAACAGATGCAAGACTCGCCAGAATTCAGCGGCTTCTGTTACGACTCCAAAAGGTTTAATGGATACAGTAGGACTGCTTATGCTTTTCAGAACAGGCTTGCCAACTTTGCAATTAAAATGCTGGCACGGGGTCAGGGACTGGGATTCCCGCAGCAACAGGGCTATTAGCAATGAGTGTACTTCTTCCCTGTACATTTTTGTGGCCCCGAAGCTTGAACAGTCAGGGGGGCCCCTTCGCAACCAGCAACGAGGTCTGTGCAACCACACAGTCATCTTCTTGAACGGGATTGTTCCACGACAGATCACCACACCTTTACAACAGCTGACTCTCAAAAACTTTGGGATTGAAATATATAAATGAAATAATAATAATTTATTATTTATACCCTGCCCATCTGGCTGGGTTTCCCAAGCCGAATTAATCAATTTGAGTTGTGCAACTCAAATTGGGTCTACTATACCCAATTCTTTTAAGCTATGTCTTTTGGGCCAAAGGAATCTGTTGGGGGTGACTTTGGAGGATGTACACTAAGGTGGAAAGGGGAGTTGAGGCTGAGCTCAACCATCCGGCTTTGAAAACAGGTGCTAAGCAGCTCAAGCATGTGCTGAAAAGAGGTTGCTTGACCTTGGGATGCGGGTGGCGCTGTGGGTTAAACCACAGAGCCTAGGACTTGCCGATCAGAAGGTTGGCGGTTCGAATCTCTGCGACGGGGTGAGCTCCCATTGCTCAGTCCCTGCTCATGCCAACCTAGCAGTTCAAAAGCACGTCAAAGTGCAAGTAGATAAATAGGTACCACTCCAGCGGGAAGGTAAACAGTGTTTACGTGTGCTGCTCTGGTTCGCCAGAAGTGGCTTAGTCATGCTGGCCACATGACCTGGAAGCTGTACTCCGGCTCCCTTGGCCAATAAAGCGAGATGAGCGCCGCAACCCCAGAGTCGGCCATGACTGGACTTAATGGTCTGGGGTCCCTTTACCTTTACCTAGAATTAGGAGAGGGCAAGTGTCCTGCAGCTACAGCCGATGAACTACTTTGGGATTACTGTTGGGTGTTAAAATATTTTTCAAATGCTTGTTTTTTGATTTGTTGAAGTTAACACAATGAATGCTGTTCATATCTGAACTGATTGGGTGAGAGGCGATTCATACTTGACTTAGATTAACAAAAGACCCTGAGGTTAGGTGGCAAAACACATTGTATTGATTGTGAATGGCAGAAGCCTCCAGCAAACATGGAAGCAAAAGACAGTATAGAACACTTAGTAAATGCCCAGTGCTAGTTCCCAGGTTTCCTCTTCCTGCTTTTAGCCATGTGCTCTCTAGCTCCCTCCCCCAAACCATTCCATAGTTCCTGTGGGCAGTATTTCTTTTTGAAGAAGAAGAAGAGTTTGGATTTGATATCCCTCTTTATCACTACCCTAAGGAGTCTCAAAGCGGCTAACATTCTCCTTTCCCTTCTTCCCCCACAACAAACACTCTGTGAGGTGAGTGGGGCTGAGAGACTTCAGAGAAGTGTGACTGGCCCAGGGTCACCCAGCAGCTGCATGTGGAGGAGCGGGGAAGCGAACCCGGTTCCCCAGACTACGAGTCCACTGCTTTTAACCACTACACCACACTGCCTCTCGAATAATTTGACTATTCTGTGACTCAGGAATGATATCCAACATCACTTATTTTACTAACCACAATGATCTGTAGACCAAGGTCAAGATTAACACTCAGGGCCATCTCTGAGCTGCTACATAGCAACTGGCCAAGTAAGATCTCGCAGCTGTCATGGAGCGGTAAGACCAGACATCAGTGTACATATAGTATTAATACAAAACATACTCATGAGCTAAGTTGTGAAAGAGCAGGTCAGGCTGCTTAAACCCCATGCTACGATGAGGGGGATCATGGCTAAGGTAAGCTCAGAAAGCTTGTTTAGTCTTCCCTCGCATGTTACAAGAGGACATAGTTCATTACTGGGCAGCACAGAATCCAGTTCCTTCAGTCAAAGCTTTCTTTTTTACGTGCAAGGATATCTAAAGGATATTTTGAGGTATCCCATCCCCTCCTAATTATTTTATTCAGGCTTGCTTTCTTGGATGTGCTTAAGACTGTGCCCTCCATACTCTGTGGATGTTGACAGCAGCATTTGAAATTCCACAGGTGCATTCTGCACCAGGCTACTGGCCACTTATGGGACGCAGGTGACGCTGTGGGTTAAACCACTGAGCCTAGGACTTGCCAATCAGAAGGTCGGCGGTTCAAATCCCCACGACGGGGTGAGCTCCCGTTGCTCGGTCCCTGCTCCTGCCAACCTAGCAGTTCGAAAGCACATCAAAAAGTGCAAGTAGATAAATAGGTACCACTCCGGCGGGAAGGTAAACGGCGTTTCCATGCGCTGCTCTGGTTTGCCAGAAGCGGCTTAGTCATGCTGGCCGCACGACCCGGAAGCTGTATGCCGGCTCCCTCGGCCAATAAAGCGAGATGAGCGCCGCAAGCCCAGAGTAGGCCACGACTGGACCTAATGGTCAGGGGTCCCTTTACCTTTTTATTGGCCACTTGCGACTAAATGAAGATGCCAGGACGTCTTCATCATCTGGGGATCACTGGATCCTGGCTGTTTTCATACACTAGCAACACATCCTTTAGAATTCTATCAGTGATATTTTATCTGCACAATCAGAATGAATTTCAGGAACCAAAAAGCCATATTGAAAATTTAGAGCCGTCTGGTCCTCAAATGGCAAACTAGACATTTTGGCGACTGTAACCCTGGTTTAAGGAGTTATATATCTGAGTTTCTAATGCTGGCATGGCATTACTCTGAAGCTTCTGTTACGGAAGAGAGCTAAAATGGGGGAGAGACCAGCTCCTAGCCCCCAAGGGCCTTGCATCTAGACGGGACCAACAGCTTTGCAAAGCAAAAATGGGGAAGCACTTTTTTAAAGGTTAGTAAGAAAGCAAGGGACGCGGGTGGTGCTGTGGGTTAAACCACAGAGCCTAGGACTTGCCGATCAGAAGGTCGGCGGTTCGAATCCCCGCGACGGGGTGAGTTCCCGTTGCTCGGTCCCTGCTCCTGCCAGCCCAGCAGTTCGAAAGCACATCAAAGTGCAAGTAGATAAATAGGTACCGCTCTGGCGGGCAGGTAAACGCCGTTTCCATGCGCTGCTCTGGTTTCGCCAGAAGCGGCTTAGTCATGCTGGCCACATGACCCGGAAGCTGTACGCCGGCTCCCTCAGCCAATAAAGCGAGATGAGCGCCGCAACCCCAGAGTCGGTCACGACTGGACCTAATGGTCAGGGGTCTCTTTACCTTTAAGAAAGCAAGGCTGTGCACACAATCCCGTTATTCTGCATTCAATGCGCTCCCAAACTGGTTTGGGAAGTGGCACACGGCATTGGCCACAATCCATCCTTATTCGGTCCTTTCTTTTGAAAGACTGTGTTTTGATGCATTCCCCCCCCCCCAAACCAGCTTCAAGCCAGCCTGAGAAAAGCAATGGCCTAGCTGTGCTTCAAGCTGGCAATGTGTTCGCACCCCCATACTTTGTGCTAACTTCGGTTTAACAGGTTTACTTCTATAGAAAAAAAGCATGAAAGAGAGATCTTTATTATTGTCAAAGTTTATTTGTAGTGCAAACAAGTAGCTGTTTAGCCTCTGGGAGAGGGGAATCAATTTCCCCCCTTTACACTGTGCACTAAAGAGTTTAGCACAAGAATCTTCCTCTGTCCAGCTTTTAATGCAAAAAAGTTGCAGAGACAAGAGTGCTACGAAACAGAAAAACGAAAAAACAGAGAAATACAGGTGTTTTGCTGGAGGTTCATACGGTGTCTCTGCCATCCAGCACAGCAGCAACTTTTTAAATGTGCGAGAATCTTTCCTTCCTTCCTCACTTGCCCTGCATCTAGCCACAGACACGCTGCCCTATCTTGTTTTGGGTTGATATAAAAATAAAAGGAGGGGAATCCCCCCCCCAACTCTGCATAATATGTTGTTCAAACCTCATTGTGACAGCAGACTGGCTTTGTGCCCTTAAAAATGGAAGGGAAGGAGATAAAAAAAACAGCAACTGCTAGACTTTGCATACTGAGAAGGCAGAAAGCAACACTGTAGTACTGAAAATGTCTTTTCTGAAATGGAATCCTTCTTTCTATAATGGAAAATACATCAAAGGATTGTGTCTAGGGTTCAGCTTAACGTTAGCCGCCATCGGCTGGAACTCAATAATGCAGAATGAGGTGTTTTACTTCTATTTGGCTTGAGAAGTTTTGATTCGTAATGCAAATTATCCGCTGGCCTTCGCTACATTTGCATCGCGAACCTGCTTTTTCTGCTTTTTCCTAATCTGTATGTGCACAGAGGGGCTCAAAAGGCGAGGACCCCCTTATCTAACACACTTCTGAAAACACGTCTGAACTGACAAACTTGGGGTGTGGAAAAATAGCCCTTGAGAGTTTGCTTTTCCAAATGGTCCCCACAAAACAAACTTTATTGGAGACACTTCCATGGAGAGCCTCTGTATTTGGGAGGTAACAATAACTTTACCATGAGCTGGTGGGCTCATGACTTAACACTGGGCTTCAATAAATTTCCAAAAACAACTGCCCAAACTGTAATAGATTTTTGTGAAAGGAGGCCCCAATGAACTGGACCCTACAGAAGGCTGGGGAGGGGAGCAGGAAACCAGACTGCCATTTCTGGCTAAAGCCCCTATTACTGTGACATTCTGCCTTTCTTTAGCAAAACATTTAATAAGAACTTCAGTGATATATCAGGTTGCTCCAACCTTCAGCTGAATTCTAATCAGAACACTTTCTTAAGGAGACAAGCCAGAAAAGGCAATTAAAGCAAGAATCAAGATCTGCCGTTTAATTCTGGGAGACACCTGAGCAACTTCTACCACGAATTTTTGCTATCTGACAACTCTAAAAGGTCACATTCTTCATTGCAGGTTTCCTGTTACAACCGAGTTGCTGGGAGCCCAAACGGCCACAGGTGGCGAAACTTTCCACTGACTTTGTTCCTTTTTGCAGGAATCCTAATCACTTTGCAGAACGTTAGGGTTTGGAGGCAACGGCACCCGTGAGCAAGTATTCTCGTAGCTACGGATTCCAACTCTTGCCCGATTTGTTGCTGAACGCTCCACTCTGGTTGGCTCGTTTTCCGTTTGGGGCCTGCCTTGCGAAAAGGTATGGTGACAACGCATCAACAGAAACAGCAGGAGGAGCAACAACACGGACATTGTACGCAGAAGGATTATCGGACCATGGCGCTTTTAGTGAAATAAGTGCTTCATAAATACACGAGCAGTTTTTGGCTTTGATGGATTCTCCTCCATTTAAGAGTCATCATAGAGAGGGTTGTTATAGTTCCCCCAGGATCCATAGTCGTGGTCATCCAAGAGCCTTCCGTACGAAGAATGCCTGAGGGAGAAACAGAAACAGAACCGTACTCCGGTCAGCCTATGCTTATTACAGAAATGTAAGATTCTGGAGCAAAAACTATAACACTAACAATCCCTCTTTCACCTGCCTCCTCCCTCTGTCCTTTTGGGGATTGTACTTCCATTACTGGGACGCGGGTGGCGCTGTGGGTAAAACCTCAGCGCCTAGGACTTGCCGATCGCATGGTCGGCAGTTCGAATCCCCGCGGCGGGGTGCGCTCCCGCTGCTCGGTCCCAGCGCCTGCCAACCTAGCAGTTTGAAAGCACCCCCGGGTGCAAGTAGATAAATAGGGACCGCTTACTGGCGGGAAGGTAAACGGCGTTTCCGTGTGCTGCGCTGGCTCGCCAGATGCGGCTTTGTCACGCTGGCCACGTGACCCAGAAGTGTCTGCCTATAGAGTGAGATGGGCGCACAACCCTAGAGTCTGGCAAGACTGGCCCGTACGGGCAGGGGTACCTTTATCTTTACCTTTTACTTCCATTACTTAAAACATCCAGGCTGATCAGACATTTAAAAGTGCTTGTGAAAGGACTGCTATCTTAGAAGATCAAATTGTGATTACAGTGGTACCTCGGGTTACAGACGCTTCAGGTTACAGACTCTGCTAACCCAGAAATAGTACCTTGGGTTAAGAACTTTGTTTCAGGGTGAGAACAAAAATCATGCAGTGGTGGTGCAGCAGCAGCAGCAGCAGGAGGCCCCATTAGCTAAAGTGGTGCTTCAGGTTATGAATAGTTTCAGGTCAAGAACGGACCTCCAGAACAAATTAAGTTCTTAATCCGAGGTACCACTGTACAGTGGTACCTCGGTTTACGAACTTAATCTGTTTTGGAAGTCTGTTCTTAAAACAAAACCATTATTAAAGAGAGGTGTGCTTTCCCTAATGAGGACACCCACCGCCAGTGCCTTTCCACCGTTCAGATTCTGTTCTTAGACTGAGGTAAAGTTCTCAAACCGGGACACTACTTCCGGTTTTGCAGAGTCCGTAAACCAAATAGTTCGTAAACAGGACTGTTCTTAGAAACTGAGGTACCACTGTCATTAAAAAGTAGATCTAAGGATCTTAGTAGACCACAACCTTAACACGAGGCAACAGTGTGATGCAGCCTCTGTTCTAGGGTGCATCAACAGGAGTCTAGTGTCCACATCAAGGGAAGTAATAGTCCCACTCTATTCTGCTTTGGTCAGACCCCATTTGGAGCACCGTGTCCAGTTCTGGGCAGCACTACTTAAGAAGAATGCAGTGGTACCTCGGGTTACATACGCTTCAGGTTACATACGCTTCAGGTTACACACTCCACTAACCCAGAAACAGTGCTTCAGCTTAAGAACTTTGCTTCAGGATAAGAACAGAAATCAGGCTCCGGCGGCGCGGCAGCAGCAGGAGGCCCCATTAGCTAAAGTGGTGCTTCAGGTTAAGAACAGTTTCAGGTTAAGAACGGACCTCCGGAACAAATTAAGTACTTAACCCGAGGTACCACTGTATTGACAAACTGGAGCGTGTGCAGAGGAAGGTGACCAAGATGATCAAGGGTCTGGAAACCAAGACAAGGAATGGTTGAGGGAGTTAATATGTTCAGCCTGGATAAGAGGAGGCCAAGTGGAGGTATGATAAAAAGGTAAAGACCTCTGACAGTTAAGTCCAGTCATGAACAACTCTGGGGTTGCGCCGCTCGTCTCGCTTTACTGGCCGAGGGAGCCGACATTTGTCCGCAGACAGTTTTCCTGGGTCGTGTGGCCAGCATGACTAAGCCGCTTCTGGCAAACCAGAGCAGCGCACGGAAACGCTGTTTACCTTCCCGCCGGAGCGGTACCTATTTATCTACTTGCACTTTGACGCGCTTTCGAACTGCTAGGTGGGCAGGAGCAGGGACCGAGCAACGGGAGCTCACCCCGTCATGGGGATTTGAACCGCCGACCTTCTGGTTGTTGTTTTTTATATAACATTTTTATTAGGGTTTTTACATTACAAAATAGAAAACAGAAAAAATACAAATAAAAATGGTTAAAAACAATCAATCTTTTCATCACATTATTTTTCATTTACTTGTTTCCCGGACCTCCTCATACCTCCCTTTTTTTGTATTCCAATTCAATTTATTAGCTCAGCAGTTTCTTTCCCTCTTTATTCTACCCTGATCTTTAATCTTAAGTTATTATAACCTTGAATTTTTACTTATAAAAACCATTTTTTTCATATTCTTTTATACCATTACAGCTAGAAACCACTTAATTTCAATTACTTCATATTTATCTACTTGCACTTCATGTGCTTTCGAACTGCTAGGTGGGCAGGAGCAGGGACCGAGCAACGGGAGCTCACCCCGTCGCGGGGATTCGAACCGCCGACCTTCTGATCGGCAAGCCCAAGGCTCTGTGGTTTAACTCACAGCGCCACCTGCATCCCTTATTAAGGTATGATAGCCATCTTCAAATATCTAAAGGACTATAACCCTTTAGCAAGCCTATGGAGCAAGCTTGTTTTCTGCTGCTCTAGAGAGTGGCTCTCAAAGCTATGGCTTCAAGTTATAAGAAAGGAAATATCGACTAAAGATCAGGGAAGGACTTTCTGACAGTAAGAGCTGTTCAACAATGGAGCTGATGGACTCTCCTTGCTTGGAGTTTTTAAAGCAGAGGTTGAGTGGCCATCTCTCATGGATGCTGTAGTTGAGATTCCTGCATTGTAGGAGTTGAGATTCCTGCATTGTTAGAAGGTCCCTTCTAAGTCTATGATTCCAAGTTTCTCATCTGTGGTAGCCTGTTGTCAGTTTGCGTTTGGTTATCAGTTGACACTCCTATTATTGTTGGGTTTTGGCACAGGTTCTATATGCCTCCCTGGGAATAATTTGGGATTGGGTACTCCTCATCAGGGGTCTATATGCTATCTGGATAAGAAGTGAATTTTATAGGGGCTCTTCCCACTTCCAGCTGTGGAGGAGTGACTGTAAGAACCATAGTTAAGAAGCCAGCCTTTCCCCAAGGAATAATAATAATAATAATAATAATAATAATAATAATAATAATAATATAGAGGAGGGAGAAAGGTTGTTTTCTGCTGCTCCAGAGAAGCGGACACGGAGCAATGGATCCAAACTACAAGAAAGAAGATTCCACCTAAACATTAGGAAGAACTTCCTGACAGTAATAGCTGTTCGACGGTGGAATTTGCTGCCAAGGAGTGTGGTGGAGTCTCCTTCTTTGGAGGTCTTTAAGCAGAGGCTTGACAACCATATGTCAGGAGTGCTCTGATGGTGTTTCCTGCTTGGCAGGGGTTGGACTCGATGGCCCTTGTGGTCTATTCCAACTCTATGATTCTAATAATAATCTATTATTTATACCCCGCCCATCTGGCTGAGTTTCCCCAGCCACTCGGAGTGGCTCCCAATCGAGTGTTAAAAACAACACAGCATTAAATATTAAAAACTTCCCTAAACTATTGCCTCTCCTCTAAATAAGGGCACCAATTCTTACCTGATCTTCAGGAATGCGGCTATGCCGAACACCAACAGAACCACTGCAATCACTGTGATGGTAATAGCTGCGATGCTGCCTGCACAACAAAGGAGATGCAACAGAGATCACCGTTTCACCTTCAACCATCCAGATTATTTTTCATCCTACGATTCAGTCCACAGACACACTGCCCTCTAATGTAGAAAATGTGGCAAACCAAGGAATATGCTCAAAGCATATTAAGCGCCGACTCCAAATCCTGCGATTTGAAAATCTGCACGCACGCAGACAGAGTTTGAGATTTAAACAGTGTGGCGTAATTATAATAGCCACTAGGGCGGATATAGCGCCTTTCTTCTCTGAGGTCAGTCCTATCATCCTCCGATTTAAGCAGCAGAGGTGAGGGGGAGAGAAAATGGTTGCTTGCTTAAGGCCATCAAGTGACGTTATGGCTGTGAGATTTAATCTCTGGGGCTTTGAACGTCTGCGTTCAAAGCTTGTGCGCTCTTATTAAGTGGCTAACTGCTATTCCAGCTTTTTTTATACTAGCTTGTAAAAGCAAGGAGAGGGATTGGGGGGACGACATTAATCTTTGTAGTGGGGGAAAAACAGCCAATGACTGCCTGAGTATTAGAGGCCCTGTATCTGCTCTTTCTCTCCTTGTCTCATTCACTAAAGACAGCCTAGTAGGTCCCATGACTTTAAGGCACTTTCAAAGTCAAGACTGGAGAACCTGTGGCTCTCCAGTTGCTGGGGCTCCAATTCCCATCAACTCCACTCAGTGGTCAAAGAGGATAGGAGTTGCAGTCCAACAATATCTGAACTGAGGGTCCTGGCTGGTAGCCAGATTCTGCGCCCAGATTTGTAGGCACAGATCATCCTGTAGAATAACATAGCTTACTAAAGGTAAAGGGACCCCTCACCATTAGGTCCAGTCGTGGCTGACTCTGGGGTTGCGGCGCTCATCTCGCTTTACTGGCCGAGGGAGCTGGCGTACAGCTTCCGGGTCATGTGGCCAGCATGACTAAGCCACTTCTGGCGAACCAGAGCAGTGCACGGAAACGCCGTTTTCCTTCCCGCTGGAGCGGTACCAATTTATCTACTTGCACTTTGACGTGCTTTCGAACTGCTAGGTTGGCAGGAGCAGGGACCGAGCAACGGGAGCTCACCCCGTTGCGGGGATTTGAACTGCCGACCTTCTGATCGGCAAGTCCTAGGCTCTGTGGTTTAACCCACAGCGCCACCCGCGTCCCACATAGCTAACTAGGGAAATGCTGAAGTCGCCCTCAGGCTCAATTTTTATGGTAGCCCAAATCTCAGTTGTACAGGTGTATGTATATATCTACCCCTGAGCTATTGCTGCAATCTGCTCTGATTGTATATTTTATCTTTATGAACTCTGTTTTTATTGTGTTATGCGAACTGGTCTTTGACCGTAATAAATTATCTATCTATAATAGATAACAAACATGGAAGCCCTCCATCTTAGCTGTGTGTCCTGGAAGACCTGCTAGATTTTTTCCACCTAGAGTGAGAGGGCAGGGCCCTGGCTGAGTGACAAAAACTGAAGCTGCTGAACAGATGCTTGGGCTGGGGTATTGTTCAGGTTTCTTTTTCTTGCTCTTATTGAGATTAATTTGGCGGATCTTTATTTTTCGATCTTATGGTTTATGTGGAAGCTGTTCAGTTTGGTTGTGTACTTTTTGATGTGTTTTATTTACTGCTCATGACTATTTCGTTATACTTGTAATTATGTAAATCTTTTCACGTAATAAGTTGCCTCGAGTGGGCTTTTAACTATGGAAAGGTGGCATACAAATGAAATTATAATGATATTAAGGATTTATTTACAGCTTTCAAGAATGATCTCTGCAACTTCCACGATTATGATTTAAACTCTACGGATGAATTCAGACATCACTCTAAACCATGGTTAAGTTTAATTTTGCTCTGGCCTGTTGTGTGAATTGACATGACATGGTTTGCAATTGGCTGGCAAACCAGAATTGGGAACTACAGGGAGAAGCCGCCTCTCTCTTTAGAATCTGTTAATAATTTATATTTTATTCTTGGCTTCTTCCCCTGCCAGATAAATTTAGAGATATATTTTTGCAGTGACTGAGGGCCAGACAGAAGCATTATAACCCTGGTTTATTCTAATTATGATCTGGCGTGATGCATCCATGGAGTGATGGGAGAAACACAATAGTTGTGGCCATTGCTCTACAAGTTGCTGCATCACAGACAGAAAGTAAGGGACAGGAATGCACCTTCGAAGTTGAGGGCTGAGAGGACGGCTAAAGAAAGCAGACGAAACAGCTCTAAACCACGGCTTGCCTATTATATATTGTAGTATGGGTTCTATGCTATGGTGAATAACAAACCATGGGTTAGTACAAGGCCTGCACTGAGTCCATTTTGCAGAAGATAAGCGAGAACGTTAAAATGTATCAGGGTGGACAGAAATTTTTTAGTAGGTGTGTTCTGTTGAGTATTATTATTAATTAAATTTACTGGTTGCTTTTGCTTGTCAAAGGCAACTCAAAGTGACTTACAAACAAAACAAACAAACAAACAAACAAACAAACAAACAAACAAACAAACAAACAAACGAAAACCCACATAGATATATTAACAAACCCAATTAAAACAATACATTAAAAATTCCCCATCCACAGGCCTGGTTAAAGAGGAAAATGGATGCATCCTTTTCTATTTTGACATTTATTTATTTTTTAGGGGGGGAAATAATCTGTCTTGAGTCCTTCCAATTATTTTATTATAATAATAATAATAATAATAATAATAATTTAGGGAGCCTTATGAACTCCCTAAAACAGACAACAATAAGCCGCAAGGTCGACAAAACCATTGCCGTGCAAAGCGCGGAAACAGACCAACTCACCCGAACTCAAGGCCCGTTGAACTTCCTGTATGGTTACCCCCACCGAGAACGTGGTGCTGCCAGTAGGGGAGGTCGCTGGAGTAGCCTTACTTGACATAGCCGCATGCGAAGAAATAGTAGCCCCTTGCGTGGAGCCCGGGGAGGATGCTGCCACAGATGTCTCTCCAGATGTTGCCTCTCCAGTAGGGAGTTTGCTGGAGGACATAGCTTCTGGAGATGTTCCTGCACTCGGCACTTGGGTGGTGCTTAGATAGGTGGCGTTAGTAGGAAAAGGGTTGGTGGGCGAGCCATTTAGAGTAGGCAAAGAGCTGACTGGTGTGGTTTCCGAGTGAGGAGCGACGCCTGTGACCAGGCCGGCAACTGATGTCGCAGGGGCTGATGTGTCTTCCGTGGTTTGTAATCCAGTGTTTGGCTGCGGTGATGAATGGGTTGCTGCTGAGCTATCCGGGACTGTTGCTCTTGACAGGGGCGTTACAGCTGAAACGGGGTTTGCAGTCAAAGCTTCCACTGTGGTGTTAGAAGCAGTGGTGCTATCCTGAGTTGAAAATCTCAGCGAAACTGTCATGGAGGCTCCTTTCTGGGTGCTCAAAGGAGGACCAACACTGGTTGTAGCAGCGGAATCATTAAATTCTGTTGTTTCTGAGGGAACCGTGCTTGAGGGAGTAGGTGGACCAGGTGAAGAGGCACAGGAGACATTTAAGCCTGCACAGGTGAAGCACACACACAAATATTATTACCTTCTAGATTTATAACCAGTTGGCCATATTATTAGCGTGAGCAGGAAACAGAACCTAGAGGGGATGGGTGGGCGATGCAGGTGGATCGGAAGGGCTGTGAAGGAAGGAAGGAAGGAAGGAAGGAAGGAAGGAAGGAAGGAAGGAAGGAAGGAGGCTGGATTCTCAATGACCAAAGCAGGGGTATTGCAGGTTGAGTTCCCCAACCCAACAGTGCCTCTGAATCACCCCTATACAGTACTTTTCCCCATCAAAATGAATGGTTTACCTGAGGCCCTTCACCAGGTGTTGCCAGCTATCAGAAGGCTACATATCTGACTACTGGAGAGAAGACCTTTTCTGTGGTGGCACCTCAGTTGTGAAGTTGCTTCTCCAGGCAAATTCACTTGGCACTATCAATGCATTTCGAATGCCAGGCAAAATTTGCCCGGTTAATAAAAACAGGGTTCTTCTATTGCTGTTTGTAGAGAATCCCACCGCCGTATCCCAACTGTGGCAGATCCCACCTATGTACACACTCTGTAGTAACTATCACAGGTTATCTTTTGGGTTTTGTGTGAGGAAATACTTACTCAGACAAAAGCTGAACGAATAAGAAATATTTATTATATAGAACGAAGTGGATAAAACAAAGGATGTTATCAGGAGATAATGACCTTTCAGGAAACAATTAACCTATTAATAATTATACTAAATCTAACGGATGTTAAAGTAAAGGTAAAGGTAAAGGACCTCTGACAGTTAAGTCCAGTCGCGACCAATATATGTTATATTGTTTGCTAAGAAAATTATGTGTCTAGTTATTCCTGTGTGTAATTTGGTATTTGTGTTTCTTTTTTCTTGTTGTATCAATAAAAAAATCTTTTTTTAAAAAAAAAAAGTCCAGTCGCGAATGACTCTTGGGTTGCGGAGCTCATCTTGCTTTACTGGCCAACGTTTGTTCGCAGACAGTTTTTCTGGGTCATGTGGCCAGCATGACTAAGCCGCTTCTGGCGAAACCAGAGCAGCGCACGGAAACACCGTTTACCTTCCCACCGGAGCTGGTACCTATTTATCTACTTGCACTTTGAGGTGCTTTCGAACTGCTAGGTTGGCAGGAGCAGGGACCGAGCAACGGGAGCTCACCCCGTCGCAGGGATTCGAACCACCAACCTTCCAATCAGCAAGCCCTAGGCTCAGTGGTTTAGACCACAGCGCCACAGGCTTCCAATCTAGCACAGCTTCTTTTAAACTTCAGTTGCTTAAGTTTAGTTATTACGCTTCAGGTAGATCTTACAGGTTTCTAGACTAGAAGGTAAATGCTCAGCTTACTTCCAGTTATTCCACTTCTGTTCCATAACTCAGTTGTTGCAACACATCTCACTACTTTGGTTCTTAAACAAGGTGGCTCAACTTTATCAACCACACTCCTGAGGAGCTTCCAGCAGTGTAACGGACACAGTGTAAGGGTCACCACACCCCTCTTAACTGGTTTGGGGCTCTTCTCCATCTCCCCTCATGCCTGGGATGAGACCCAAGTAGGCTGTATCCTCACAACTTCTAGTTCTCCTGGCTCAAACTCAGCCCTCTGTGGATCAAGGATTCAGTTGTCAGGGGCTAGACGGAGCCTCCATATTTCCTAGCTTCTCCCCACGCTCCACCCCGACTCGCATTAGCACAGTCAACTGTGAAAAAATAAGGGACACAGGCAAATCTAATCAGCCCATCCAGGCTGCGAAATCCAACTGGTGGAAAATTTAAGACTCCCGGCTTCCTTTTTGTTTGGCAAAGCACTCACTGAACCCTGCTTAGTATCTGCTCGCCCAAACGTCGCATTTGTCCCATCGAGCTGAACCTTAGCTCATTCATTCTGGAGCGAGCGGAGTCTGCGTCGCTAAATCAAGCCCAATTAACTTCCTGTTTTCAAAGGGTGAAGACAGGCGTAACATTGCAACGGGGACCGCAGCGCGTTTTCCGCCCACAGGGCAAGAACAGAGCTCAGTATGACTTTGCAATTTGTCCCCCCCCCCCCCCGCAAGCTGCACGCCAGCAAGGTGAATGCCGCCTCCTCCCTCGATCTTGGCCTCTCCCCTCAGGCCTCAAGGCAGGCTATCTTTAAATAAAACTAAAGCGAAAGCAGCCCACCCATTCTGGCTTTATTTGCTCGCCCTTCGTTAGATGAAAAAGTGTAAACTTTCCGAACCGGCCAAACTACTCCAGCGATTGACAGGGAAGTTGTGCCAGCCAACTGGTGTCAGCCACAGCTGTGGTTTCCTCCAGTTGAGTGGAGCAGATTCTAAAAAGCCGCAGGACGCTTTTATAGTTCATCTTGAAAAATTCATAGCAGATGCAATTCCAGCTCCCCTTTGCCTATTGCTCTGCGAGTGGGAAATCTGCCTTCACCCAAGATTTTCATTTTCCCAGCAAGTGGGGCGGCCCAAGACATTTTGGCACCTGAGGCAAACCGCAAAGTGGTACTTCTCTCTCCCACCCCCCAGTGTACCACTAGCCAGGAAAGAAAAAGTGAAGATCTACATCAGGACACGGGTGGCGCTGTGGGTTAAACCACAGATCCTAGGGCTTGCCGATCAGAAGGTCGGCGGTTCGAATCCCTGCGACGGGGTGAGCTCCCGTTGCTCGGTCCCTGCTCCTGCCAACCTACCAGTTCGAAAGCACGTCAAAGTGCAAGTAGATAAATAGGTACCACTCCAGCGGGAAGGTAAATGGAGTTTCCATGCACTGCTCTGGTTTGCCAGAAGCGGCTTAGTCTTGCTGGCCACATGACCCGGAAGCTGTACGCCGGCTCCCTCGGCCTGTAAAGCGAGATGAGCACTGCAACCCCAGAGTCGGTCATGACTGGACCTAGTGGTCAGGGGTCCCTTTACCTTTACATCAGGAACAAGGGGAGAAAAGGATATACATCAGCAGTGCTCAGTGTTAGAAACTCAGATATAGAGGCTAGGTGCCAAACGGAACCTTAAACCAGGGCTGCAGTCTCCAAAACGGAATGTCTATTTGCTGTTTGGGGGCAAGACGGCTCTAGACTCTTATTTTTCAAAACGAAGGACTGATTGTATTGATTATTAGTTGAACATATGGCTAATTTAGAAGGCAACCTTGAACTAGGTTGAGAACTGTGAGAACTTAAGGAAGAAGTCACTTGATTCAGGGACATATATTATCTCTACCTCTTTTTCTTAACGGTCCAGTCATAACGTAAGAATATTATTCACAACTGTGGGGAGGGCATTGGGGGGGTGTAAGTAAAAATAAGCTACAACAACTGTTCGGCGCTCCTGCTCAGAGGCAGCATTTTGCTTCATGAAATTCACTCTGATTGTGTAGATAAAACACAACTGCTAGAATTTTACAGGGTGGGGTATTAGTGTGTGGAAGCAGTCCCGATCCGACGACCCCGGCGTGCACCTCCAGATAGTGGAGATGCCAGGCACTCAGGCATCCTCACTTGGTCACAAGTGGCTGATAGTAAAGGTAAAGGTAAAGAGACCCCTGACCATTAGGTCCAGTTGTGACCAACTCTGAGGTTGCGGCGCTCATTTCGCTTTATTGGCCGAGGGAGCCGGCGTACAGCTTCTGGGTCATGTGGCCAGCATGACTAAGCCGCTTCTGGCGAACCAGAGCAGCGCATGGAAACGCCGTTTACCTTCCCGCCGGAGCGGTACCTATTTATCTACTTGCACTTTGACGTGCTTTCGAACTGCTAGGTTGGCAGGCGCTGGGACCAAGCAGCGGGAGCGCACCCCGCCGCGGGGATTCGAACCGCCGAACTTTCGATCGGCAAGTCCCTAGGCGCTGAGGCTTTTACCCACAGCGCCACCCGCGTCCACTATCAGTGGCTGATAGCCTGATCCAAAATGTGCCAGGCTCCTGGCTAATATCGAACACTGGCAGTGCCACCTATTTGCCAGGAGATGGCTGTACAGGTGGCATTTTGGGGTCAGCCGAGAAGCTGACCGATTCAGCAGCAAGAGGCGATGCGTTCCTTGAACGCCAGCTGCCTCTGTGGATCCTGAGGCCTGAGGGTCCCCTCACTTTTCCTCATGGGTGCACTGGCTCTGCCAGAAAGCCTCTCTCCTCACCCACTGTTACACCGATTTCAATCGTGGAAAATGAAACCCAACGTAAGAATATGGTTAAAGGTAAAGGGACCCCTGACCATTAGGTCCAGTCGTGACCGACTCTGGGGTTGCGGCGCTCATCTCGCTTTATTGGCCGAGGGAGCCGGCGTACAGCTTCCGGGTCATGTGGCCAGCATGACTAAGCTGCTTCTGGCGAACCAGAGCAGCGCACGGAAACGCCGTTTACCTTCCCGCCGGAGCGGTACCTATTTATCTACTTGCACTTTGACGTGCTTTCGAACTGCTAGGTTGGCAGGAGCTGAGACTGAGCAACAGGAGCTCACCCCGTCGTGGGGATTCGAACCGCCAACCTTCTGATTGGCAAGTCCTAGGCTCTGTGGTTTAACCCACAGCGCCACCCACGGTAGGAACATAGGAAGCTACTTTCTACAGAGTTGGATGTTGGACTCTGCTAGCCCAGGTTTCCCTACTTGGACTGGCAAGGCAAGCGCTGCATTTGGTCTCAGTGCTACCCAGAGATGTCTTACCACTGTACTCCAGCCACGTCCCCAAACATTTTTAATATACTGTACTGGTATCAAAGGGACGTGGGGGGCGCCGTGGTCTAAACCACTTAGCCCAGGGCTTGCCAATCAAAAGGTCGGCGGTTCGAATCCCCATGACGGGGTGAGCTCCTGTTGCTCGGTCCCTGCTCCTGCCAACCTAGCAGTTCGAAAGCATGCCAGTGCAAGTAGATAAATAGGTACCGCTCTGGCGGGAAGGTAAACGGTGTTTCCGTGCGCTGCTCTGGTTCGCCAGAAGCGGCTTAGTCATGCTGGCCACATGACCCGGAAAAACTGTCTGCGAAGCGGACAAACGCCGGCTCCCTCGGCCTGTAAAGAGAGATGAG